CTTTATTTTCTATCCACGCCCTATCACAAATACTTATCTTCTAACAAGTAATTTTACTAGCTTTATGAACCAATTTCGGTATTAAACTCTATGACTGAACTAAATTATGAAAGTTCTATTTACGATGATCAAGATGTATTTGCTTCAACCTCAACACAAGCTTCTATAATTAGTCCTATTTGCAATAATCAAGATGTATCTGCTTCAACCTCAACACAAGCTCCCGTAATTAATACTATTTGCAATGATCAAGATGTATCTGCTTCAACCTCAACACAAGCTCCCATAATTAACCTTATTTGTGATGATCAAGATGTATCTATTTCAACCTCAATACAAGCTCCTATAATTATTTAATTTTTTTGCTCTATTCTTATCTAATACTATGCTATGCCTAAAGTTATTACTAACCTGAAGTTGCAGCTTCAGATGCCTAAAGTTGTAATTTCAGGTTAGTGATGACTTAGATATGTTGTCCAACAAAAATTCTAACATATATTTACTTAACACTGTAGTTTCCTGAAGTGATAACTGATAGCAATTTATTTGATAATGAATTAGATGGATCAGATGATCTATCTGATTCAGTGAAATTGATTTTGAGACTTACTTTTTTCAACTGGGAAGAATTTAAGATTTGGTTGAATGGATTCGCATTAAAGAATAGATTTAGTTATAAAGTTAGAACAAGTGAAATAACTAATGGTATAATGAAAAGAGCTACTTATGAATATACTAAATCCGGTTTACATGCTCTGCAAGTTACATCAGACCCAACAAAGAGGCATAACACATACTCTCAACAGATACAATACCAGTAGAAGCTTAATGTCACCTACCCAAAAACAAGTAGTGTTGTAAAAATTAATTCCTTTGTCAATGAACATAATCACCCTTATTCCAATGATATGTGAAATAGCACCACGGTTTCGAAAGTTGATGAATAGAATGCTAAATGATATAGAAAAGTATGTTATCTAGGGGAGAATAGATTCCAGTTCTATTTATCCATTGTTAAAGCATGATTATCCGAACCAACCAATTTATAAGCGAGATTTATATAATGTGGTTTACCAGTTTCGTTAAAAAAATAGTCCAGGGGAGGCAGATGCTTTCTAAATATTATAGTTACTACTAGATTGGAAGAACTTAGAGCTATTATGGGTTGTAAAGCCTCGTTTAGATTCAGTTTCAAGGCGATTGAACACTCTTTTTTGGATGTCTCCTATTCAAAGAGAGTTATATAGTAAATATAATAATATAGTAGTAGTGGATACTACTTATAACACCAACTGATTTAGAATATTGCTTTGTATTATAGCTATCGTTGATAATAACTATAGAACTAGAATCGTTGCAAGTGCTATAATGAAATATGAAACACTAGATACTTACCAATAGATCTTTAATAATTTACTTACTGAAACGGGTATTTCGCCTAGTATCATATTTACTGATTCAGACTCTTCAATGATCCGATCAATCATGAATACTTTCCCTAATGTTCAACATCTTTCATGTATTTTTCATATAGATATGAACCTTCAAAAAAAACTTAAAGATAAATTAGATAATCAGTTTGAGGAATTTCATCATAAATTCTTTATATGTCGAAATTCTCTTTGTAAAGATCTATTTGAACATCGATGGAATCAGTTAGTTGATCAGTATTCTGCGGCACTAAAATACTTGTCAGAAACACTTTATGTTACTAAGGAATTATAGGCAGTACCTTGGGTTTGTGAACATTTTACAGCTAGTATTCAAAGTTTACAAAGAGCAGAATCAATTAATAAAAATATTCATGACAAAGTTGATTATTTTACATCACTATGCAACTTAGTACTTAGCATAAAGGATTATGTAAAAAATGATGAGCATCTAGAAAATTTTGATATTGAATGGAACGCTTTACCTGTAATTGGCATGCCAATGTTAAATTCAAGACTCTTCAGCCAAATAGATTCTATTATTAAGAATTTTTTAACACCAGTGATGCTCGGCAAACAAAGGTCTCAAATAAATCAATCTATTTGTTATGATATTAATCGAATTATACAGTGGCAACAATTAATAAATGTAAGTAATTATCTATGATTTAACTATTCAAAGAGTACAAATCTAAATTTAGATACATACATATATACGTACATACGCATGTACATATATATATTTGTCTATTTTTATTGTACTTTGCATATTACCGAATACCTGTTTTGTGGTATATACATATGTATGTACCTAACAATAACCAGTATAAAAATACAAAAATGGATCATATGTACACTAATATACGTATACATACAGCAATTTTGCAATCATATAATAATTGAAGCTTTAATCAACAATAACAATATGCTCATATGTATAAAATCAGTACAATTTTATATCTAATACTACTGCTAATACAACACACAGACCACTAAACATCATAATAATACTAATTAACATATTGGCAAGTCTTTGCATAATGCTCATATTGCTTATACTTACTACATTTTCTCCTATTTGTGTTCACTATGTTCTTCTCATTATTGTTATCCAGTACATTAATATTTCTATTATCCTTTAAAACTTGCTTTTTCTTACGTGTGCCTTTTTCAATACTTGCTTTGAGTCTTTTGGAAGGTCGGCCTTTGTGTCTAATGACAACAGGATTGTTAATATTAGATAAGAAATTTTCTGTTTCCTGATTCTTGTTTTGAGCATCATGTATTAATTGCTTAAACGTATTTAATAATTCATGTTCCTAA